TGGCACATGATCCTACCATGATATGCTGCCTTTACCAGAGACCCAAAGCAAAGGGGCACTTATTTTGAACTGAAATCTCCAGAACTGTGAGATCAAATCAACCTTTCCTTGCTGAAAGTTAATTGCCTCAAGAATTTCATTATAGTGATGAAAAGCTGACTAATACATAATAATATTAATATTTAAAAATTAGTATTTTTAAGTCTCTTAAATAACGTAGAATGCAAAAAGTAAAGTTAAAATCAAAGTTAATATGATACTAACTTTTAAATTGTCCATGTATTTATCTATACTGGGATCTTTATCTCTTCATATGGTTTCAAGTTACTATCTAATATTCTTTCATTTCAGCTCAGAGAACTCTCAGTACTCAGAGTAGATTTAATGAACTTCCTTGTTAGAGTCTGTAAACAAGTCAGGATGGCGCCTGTCAAAATGCCAGAGGGAGTGGTTTGTGAAGTAATGCCAGCAAGCCATTAAGTGTGGAGATTCCTTATTGGTTGACTGCTGTATCTAGTTTATGTTAATTAAGATAAGCTGTGTGGAATGTATAAATACCCCTCCTGTCCTACAATAAACGGCTCCCACTCCTGCTGTATCAATATACACAAGTTGTTCGTCACCCCCCGGCTAGTTTGCTGTAGCCGGACTGCGGCACTTCCTCAGATTTTTGTTTATTTGGGAATGTCTTAATTTCTGCTTCATTTTGGAGGTTTAGTTTTTCTGCATATAATCTTTTGTTTGTTTTTGTTTTTCTTTCAGCACTCTGTATATATCAGACCACTGCCTTCTGATCTCCAAATTTTCTGATGAAAATCTTATGACATTCCCTGCATGTAATGAGACACTTCTCTCATTGCTTTTAAGATTCTCTTATCTTTGTCGCTTACAGTTTAATTACAATCTTTTTTTTTTTTTTTTTGGTGTGGGCTTCTCTTGAGTTCATCCTACTTGGAGTTCAGTGAGGTTCTTGAATGTTTATGTTCATATTTTTTCATCAAATTTGGGTAGTTTGGGGCCATTACTTTCTTGAATAATATCTTTTTTCATCTTTGTCTCCCATCTCCTCCGGAGACTCCCATAATATGTATGTTGGTCTACTAGATGGAGGTCTCACAAATCCATTATACTCTCTGCTTTTCTTCAGTATTTTTCTATCTTTCTCAGTTTGAATAATTTCTATTGTTTGAACTTCAAGGTCACTGATTCTTTATTCATTATGCCTTAAACTGCCTTTGAATCCCTGAAGTTTTCACTTCAATTATCTTCTTTTCAGCTCCAAACTTTTTGTTTATTTTTAGGCTTTCTTTCTCTTTATTGCTATTATCATTTTGCTCATACTTTATTTCTTTGACTTTCTACACATCTTCCTTAGTTCATTGAGCATCATTAAGATTGTCATTTTAAAGTCTTTGTCTAATAAAGCCTTTATCAGGTCTTTTTTCAGGGACAGTTTCTGTCGTTTTATTTTTCCTTTGACTATGACATATTTTCCTGTTTCTTTGTATGTCTTGTGACCTTTATTTTACTGTTGTTGAAAACTGTATATTCAAATCTAGGAATGTAATAATTTTGGTGATTAGAGCTTTCCCTTCTTCAGGTTTACTAATTTTTAATTTTGATTTTAGATACTGTAGACCATATCCATGGTGGTGGTCACAACCACAAGGTCTCCTCAGGTCTTTTATAAGCCTGTGCCTTTTCCTGAGCATGTGCTGTGACTTTCTAAAATACCTGCATATATGTGGTAGCTTTTATTTTTTTCTTGGAATCCATTCTACTGCTAAGCTGTTGCCTCAACCCTATGTGATTGCTTTTAAATGTTTCATATTCTCTAGATGTTTGCCTCCTGTAAGGGGGAAGGAGAAAATGAATGGGAGTGGGAGGGAGGCAGAAAAAAATAAGACAAAAATTTTGCTGGCCTGTTGGCTACTCTGGAAGTTACCTTGGTCAATGGGGAAGGGGCCTGAAACAGTGAGAAGAGGTGCAATAATAGTTCCTCCACCATATGTCCTCACTTCCAAGAAGCAGCAACCTGTAATAAGGAGATAGATCCCCAAGTTTTTGGAGGACAGATTCATTTTTTGTTCATCCTAGCTCCCATGACCTGCCTGCAAGTTACTGCTGAGTAGCTAATACCCATAATAGAAGCTGTGAGCTGAAATTAAAATTTATCACAATTTTTCATTCAATCCTTTCCCTGGAAGTTGTAATCCTTCTAGAAGATTCCAGCATTCAAAAGTAATTAAGTCAGAGAGATTCTTCCAGTGTAATTATTTTCTAGATGGGGATACAGATTCCTGGTGTTTCTTATTCCACCATCTTCCCCCCAACTCCTGATCATCCTTTCTTGACCACTGACTTTGCTAAATGACTTGATAACCTCAGTTTTCTAATAATGAACAATTTGTACTCATGTTTTATAAATTATTTAAGATCTATATTTTTGCTGACATGCATTTAGCACTCAGGTACAGTAATAAAAATTAATAATAGCCCAACAGTAGCAAAAACATGAACTAGTTATGAACACAATAGTATTGGGTATTTCATACTAAATGAGCTGCTACCAATACATAGTGTTCCTATTAGCACTTGTCAAAACAAGGAACTAAATATCTGTCAGTGAGTTATGAATTATTCCATATCTACAGGGTGCAGCTTGTGTATTATATTAGAAAAAAAGGAACAGAAATGTGCTCAGTGGAGGAAGGAGAGGTGGCTGAGAGGGATGTCAGAGGACATTATGCTTGGGCAATAGCACCTTCTAAAGTGGAAAAATCACAATTTAATCAGATCTCATTATAATAAGAGCCAGTAGAGCTGCTGGAGTCTAGGACTAGGTCTGTTGTTAACTAATTATGTGAACTGGGCAAGTCAATTTCCCTCCCTGACCCTCCATTTTCATATTTGTAGACTTGTTTTAGGAGGAGAGGATAAGAGCTTTGTTTCAATCTCTAATGTCTTTTACAAGTAAAATATTTAATGAGTTCATGACTCTAGACCTCCACTGTCTTAATAGAGTAGTAATTAGAGCACATGTGGCTATTTAACTTCGACAAAATGAAAATTTAAGTTCCTTGGGTACACTAGTCACATTTCAAAAGCTCAGTAGCCAGACTGAGCTGGACAACACACAGAGAAAAAACTTCCAACATAATAGAAAGTTTAATTGGCCATCCCCGGTTTAGATCTTTCTTCAAAAAGACCCTTGAGAAGTCTAATGTGAATATCATTTAAGTTCTTATGCAATATTGTTGATTTTATTCTAAAAGTAACAATTGCTCTTATGGATACTACTGAGACGTGACGTCTATTGAGCATGATTGCCTGTGAGAATTTTTTAAAGGCCATTTTGACTTAATTCTCACAACCAGTCTATGAGATCGGAATGGCACTATACCCATCTTATAAAGGAGGGAAGCAAGATTCATAGTGTCTGAGTTGTTCAGAGCCACACCATAGAAGTGGCAGAACTAGGGATTGAGCCCACGTGACTGTCCTAATCCAGATCCCACACGTTTTACTCTGGCCCCCGGCTTGGTCTCTGATCCCACTGTCTTATGGTCATGGCTTACAAATTCCTCACAATACCCCTTGTGGATATTGATCCTGTATACATGTTTTCTTTAGAATGCACACCCTATTCTCCTTTTCTTTGCTTGTCAACTTCTTATTTATCCTGTAAAAACTGACTATCTTCTCTATCAGGCAAAATAGTTACCTAGTCTGTTTTGGGGCTTCTGCCACACTCCACTCACACCTCAAATACAAAGCCTACTAGAATGCATTATGGTATCTGTTTACAGGTCTAGTCTTCTATCAGACTGTTTTCTTCAAGATGAAGCAAGTGCCTAATTTGTGTGTGTGTGTGTGTGTGTGTGTGTGTCTATCCCCAGTTCGTAGAAGGTTCTGAGTCAATGAAAGCACAATGGAATATTACTCAGCAATAAAAGAGAATAAAATCATGGCATTTGCAGGTAAATGGATGGAGTTGGAGAAGATAATGCTAACTGAAGTTATCCAATCCCAAAAAAACAAACGCTGAATGTTTTCTGTGATATAAGGAGTCTGATTCATAGTGGGTTTGGGAGAGGGAGCATGGGAGGATTAAAGGAACTCTAGATAGGGCAGAGGGGTGGGAGGGGAAGGGAAGGGGCAGGGGGTTAGCAATGATGGTGGAATGTGATAGTCATCATTATCCAAAATACATATATGAAGACATGAATTGGTGTGAATATACTTTATATACAAAAATTGTGCTCTATATGTGTAATAAGAATTATAATGCATTCCACTGTCATGTAATTAAAAAATAAAAATCAATTAAAAAATATTTTTCTAAGATGAAGAGTCATCACTCTTTGCAACCACTAGAGCTCATCAATATGCTTTCTATTGTTCTTGGAATGCCCACTTTAGATTCCATTCATTACCTGCAAGCAGAGGGCTCCAGTACCTTTAAGAGCAAAGTAAAACAAACAACAACAACAAACAAAATATTTCTCAGATGAAATAGTTCTTCCTAAGCATCTCTCCAAGTAGTCTATCACCTCCTACTGCTGCCTACTTCTACCAATGCTGGTGACCTTCTGTCCACATTTTCTACCATGCACCAGGCTTTGACAACACTCTAGGCTACCTGCCTACAAAGACAGGGACTACTTGGAAATACACAGTTCTGCTGTCTTGCTTCCACTCCTCCCTAGAGCAACTGGACTGCAGCTGATTAATATAAATGCTATTTGCAGAGAGAGACTTGGGTGCACAGTTAAAAGACACCTGGCAGTCCCACACATTCTCCCAGGGAACAGCACCACCCTATTCTCCACCCTGCTCTTTGCAGCTCTTCACCCCAAACAGATAACGAAAGAACAAAATGTTACTCTGGCTTTCCCTGTCCTCAAGAGTCATGGAGGCACTACTATTTTGAGCTATCTTTGTGCTTCTGCATTTTAGAGAAAGCTGAGGTAGGCTCAAATTTTAAAACAAAACAAAAACTCTCATCAACCTAGAAGACAAATCAAACAGCAAAATCAGAGCTATTACCAGAACAAAATGTAGGAAGAAAAATACCATTTATCAAAGATGCCCTGCATATCAGAATTATTCTGGGTAAATTAATCTCCTGTAATCCTATAATTCTAAAAGGTATGCTTAATCATCTCATTTTACAGATGGAGATACTGAAGCCCAGAAAATACCACTGAAAAATAGAACAAGCATGGACTTCATGGAAGAGAGATCTGAGTTCAGATTTGGGAGCCACTAGCTCTACTTGTAAGCTGCTAGGCAGGAGCTCTTAGGAGCAAGTAGTTGTACTTGCTGGTAGTGGGCTGTGTGTGTGGATGCGGGGGGCTGGTGCTCCTTGAAATGGCTGTTAACATTCCTTCAGGTTTTTTGTTTATTTGTTTGTTTGTTTTGTTTTTTTAATTTCAGATAAGGCTCTCCAGAAAGAAGTAGCTAAAATCACACTTTGGAGTGAACTAGAGTAAGCTTTGCTCATTATAATCTCATTTTAATGCTAAATTCTCTGCCCAGGAACCATTCCGGTCCACCATTTTTGAACAAGCAATGAATGAAGAAGAACTGAGCAAGCTCAGGAGTGTGTCCATATCTGCATGTGAGGATGAATCTTTCTAGTATGAATATGTATGAGTCACCCCTCCTTGTTTCTTTGTTCAGGGAGACTTTGTTTTGGGAGTGCTTTTGTTACTTGTTCTAGTAATAAATTTCTCTTCATTCTTTATTTCCTGGTTGTGTTTATTGGTTTACCCTTACCAAAGGGTGGACCTGTTGTGTTTGGTTGTTAGAGTCTGTAAACAAGTCAAGATGGTGCCTGGCATTTTGCAGAGGGAGTGGTTTGTGAAGTAACGCCAGCGAGCCATTAAGTGTGGAGATTCCTTATTGGTTGACTGCTGTATCTAGTTTATGTTAATTAATATAAGCTGTGTGTAGTGTATATATATATACCCTTCTGGTCCTACAATAAACGGCTCCCATTCCAGCTGTATCAATCTACACAAGTTGCTCGTCACCCCCCGGTTATTTTGCTGCAGCCGGACTGTGGCATTTGGTTATAGCTTTGGACAAATTTTGAGCCTCATTAAATCTGTTTTGAAACTTAGAAATAGTAACAAATAATACCAACCTTCCAGGGCTGTTGTAGAGTCAAATATGAAAATGTCTGCAAAGTATCTAATGTAAATGGTTGGCATCTTATTAGATTTAATAAATATTGGTTTCCTCTTACCTGTCTGTTACATATCAGAGTTATAATTCAAAAGCAGTGTCATGTACTCCCAAATCTAAGTTCTTTGCAGATTTGTAATAAGGACTTGTCTAAGCTGCTCCTCCATCACCGTGGTGATACAATCATACTGGCTGAAATTGAATGATTCCTTTATACTGGCAAACCACTATCTGTTATTTCATGTATCTATGCCCAGATATAAATCTCTTAGAAGTCAAACTCAAAATGCATAAATCATGCATTTCCCAGTGTACTTTAATGTACCTCGAGGCCAGACTGATCATAAAAACATCTTGCCAGACAATGTCATAGACCTATTTGGGAAAAAGGCTTGAAGTTGGCAAAATAATAGTGATGATGATGATGATGATGATGATGATGATAATTACTGTGCTCCAGCTTCTATGGCATTTGCAAAAAGCCAGTAAGATAGAGGGAGTAGCAATAGCTTTACTCGTCCTAAATCTTTTTTGCCATCCTCTTGTTTTGAATCAGGCTGCATTTTCTTCTGGAAAGAGAAAAGTGCAAGTCCACAATAAATATTCTTATAAAAAGTTGTAGGCTGCATTTCCAGCTGGGAGAGATTTCATTCTCAGTAGTTTTCTTGCTGGTCATAGGTATATTGTCTTTTGTTTGCTTGATATGGAGAAAGATTCCATACTTTAAAAAAAGTTTTCACCTTAGACTCTAGAGAATGCACTGTTTGTCTTACTATGGAATTTCTTTTGCAGATAGCTCTCACTGCAATACTTGAACCTAAAAAATGGTCTCAACAGGCAACATACCTCCCAGCCTGTGCACCCTTCCCCTATGCCTAATGTCCCAGAAACACTGTAGAGATAGCTGAGATGTGATGAACAAGTGCAAACTTGTAGTTATGGAGTCATCATTGAGTTCTAGTTCTGCCCTTTAATCTCTGACTGTGTATATGTCACCATAACTTGATGTCTCAATTTTTCTCATCTCTGCAATGGGAGCATTAGCTGACTGCCAAAAGCTTTTGAGGACTGAATACCATGCTGCATCTAAAGCTTCTGAGGAAGCCACGGGCGTTCCATGAAAACAACAACAACAAAGACGTAATTAGAATCTAAAGAACAGGAACCTGAAGAACTCTATTCTCTGAGTATTATTTTCAATTAAAATTCAAACTTGCCAGTAGTCTGACTTCTTTGGATCAGTTCTTAGGGCGCCTAACCCTTAGAGGCCTCTGCTAATATAAATGGCTTCCAAAATACTAAGTTTTGTGCATTAAATTGCCTTTATTATAATCTACATAATGGACTGTAATGGAAAGCACACCAGACCAAGAAGCCAGAACACCCTGACTGCCTGCCATGCCCAGGGACACACCTCAGAGACTTTCTGTGCTCCATTTCCTCATTTGTAACTTGAGAGGTCATTCTCTGCCTTCAAAGGTGACCTGAGGGCAAGATGAATGCATGTAAGAGCAACCTGTACAGGGAGCTACCGCACTGATTCAAGATTATTCAAGTACCAGAACATCCAGAGGAGGCTTATGAATTTTCAAAGAAGGCCTAAATCATTTAATAGTCAAATTTAATCACAAATGGATGTTAGATGGTCTTAACCTACTGGGAGCACAGATCTCAGGTATTAAAGAAAATCCATGGATCTTCTCCCAAGGGGGAAAAACAATGCACATAAGTACATAAACATGATGTTTGATACAATTTCAGGAAATTCACAGACTTCCTGATACTCCTTGCTAGGTCACAGAAGGAACTTATCAGTGATCTTACCACAATGATTAAATATAGTTTTAAACTAGGTTTTATTTCCCATTTTCAAAATCTGCAACTTACATTATATAGAATAAGTTGTTATTTGGAATACTTCAGGTACCAGAATATTTCCATTTTCCATAATATAAACTGAATTTGTACACAAAATGATGCTGTTTAGCAAGAAAGTAGATTTAATTAATCTAGTGCTCCTCTGAAAACCACACTGTCCAAGGCTATTAAGGAAAATTTATCCATGTAGCATATATCTCAATTCTCAGATAAATTTTTTGTTTAACAGTTAACAGAGTCTTCTGAATTTACATGGCTCCTAACTAGTTGCCTATGTTCTGGCAAATTCATTGTCACAAGAAAAACTAAGTGTTACTTAGGTCTGATGCTAAGGGAAAAAAGATGCATTTTTATAAAAATGAAATGAAGGAAATGCTTATCTGTATAAGCACACAGGAACCTGGATGATGAGGGACATCATTGCCATTACAGATGGGTTTTAGGACTTACTACCTTTCCTTTGTCATCACCACTAGGGGAAACTGCTCTCCTGCAGGGCAGCATTAGTGGGTGTCTTCTGACCATGACACTAGAAGGGACCATCAGCACCACAAAGTGAAAAGAAAGCGAGCAGGTAGAGGCACTGAGTGTACCGCAAGGTTGGAGCTACACATTGTGCTCTGTGTAATTTCAAAACACTAGCAGCATGTTTTTGTTTGGCATTATGAGTGGAACACAGGTCAAATTTATGTTGTTAAAAACCTTGTAGTTAATGCTCAGCAAAGAAAAACAGCCACACTTCCAAATATAAGCTGCCACTGCTGGAAAAGATTGACCAGAATAGACCCAGCTTAAGAAAGAACATAAACAATGACACTTTCACTAGCAAGTGAAGTGTCAAATGGCACATGCCAAACAACCATTCCCCTTCTGTTCCAGAGTTCTGTGCCTTCCCACTGTCCTAACATCCAAGTCAAGGAGAAATCAAATCTTGCCCCAGAACTCCTGACCCTTCACACATCATCTCAGAAGGCTTTTGGTTCTCCCTGGGAAGTTCCTGCTTCAATAGGAAATGTTCTTTTCCTACTAGTCTCAAGAATTTCTCATGATGCTAAGCCTTAGAGCTTCAGAGGATTACATTTCAGATTCACTCTCAGTTTTGGATTCACATTCATGTCAAGTCTCAAGCTACAACCCATGCCACCCTGAAGGAGGTGGCCAGGCCAGCCACAGGAGCAACCCGGGCTGCCAAGAGAGACAGCTGCTCTGCCAGACGTGACCCACTTCCCTCCCTGTCCTGTCCAGCCCTTTGGGATGGGCCCAGCTGGTCCTCGGCTTCCCTCAGTCAGGTATCTCTGGAGAGGCCAAGGGGTTCTCAGATGTCAGTGGCAGCGGGGATTGCTTTTCAAACTTTAATGTTTCTTCCCACTTCTTTCATTCTGGAAGAATTATCATAAAGTACAATCTTCCATGGAAATGTTTGCTCATCCTAAGCATGTGCCCTGAACCAGATATACGAGCTGGTTGACTTGCTCACCCCTTACATAACCTCAGATTTCCCGATTAACTTCTTTAATCGTAATTGTTTTAGGAGGAAAAAAAGAAAGAAAGAAACAACCCTCAAAGCCTCTAAAACTCTTTATTCCTGGTCTCCTGGGCACCAACTTTGGGTCCCAGGCTGCTTTACCACATTGCTTTGGCAACACAATGACTCTCCCTGGGATTTTAAAATATAATGAAGCCGACTTTTTATCTCAGCATGAACTCCGTTCTCTTCAAGGAGCTTTGTTTATAGTATCAGAGCTTTAAATTGTTTTATCTTTTACAGAATAATTCAAATAAGTAAAGGTTTAGACAGCAGACCTCTCACTTTGTTTTTAGAATATTTCTCTTACCTATATAAGCAAACTCTCTAAGTAATGAAGCCTCCTATGAGTGACATTATATTTTTTAGAGTTTCAAATGCTGATTTTCACTCTGACTTAAAAGAAAATCTAAGAGAACATCAAATAGATAGCTACAGAACCAAAAAAAAAAAATGCTCATGTTCACCTAATACACATCTTAGTTATTCAATCAGAAGAAATTGATGGATATCATTATGGCTCTTAAATATATAAAATATTCCACATGTTTTGGGGGAGGAAAATAAATTTTTTATAGTATCGAAAATGTCTGAATCCATTATATATTAATATTCCCTTAAAAATTCTAATGTAAACTTGATGTCTCCATTTTAAAATTCTTCTAATTATTTTAGTAAGGTGGGAAAAAATGCATTCTACTCATCACACACACACACACACACACACACACACACACACACTTCACACCAGCAAACAGAAAGCCACTGTTCTAGAATGTCACAATATATACATTTTGTCACAATGAAAGATTATGGATTATGTTCCCTCATCTAATAATACATTACATAGGACAATAGTAACAAAAAGATCCTTTTTTAAAAGTGGATCCTTCCCCATACCAACAGAGGAAATGTTCCGTTTCTATATTGCTACTACCTAAACTAAAACAGAGAAGAAGGCTAGTTTCATTGCCTATATCTTTAAACTTTACCATATTCTATACACTTCCTAATTCAATGCAGGCACAGTTTTGTTTTTGTTTTTTTGGTACTGGTGATTGAACCCAGGGGCCCTTAACCATTGGGTCACATTCCTGGCCCTTTTTA